CATCCTCATCCTCATCCTCATCCTCATCCTCATCCTCATCCTCATCCCATGCCCTCCTCTGGCCCCATCAGCAGCCCCAGCACTTCCTCCCTGCTCCCCACTGGTCACTGCAACCAACTCCCATCCAACTTTTCCATCCGGTGGCCCTCAGCAGAGGGACAGAACCACCTCGCTCAGCCCAAAGATGAATGACAAGAAGTTCCCTACCTTAGAGTCTGCTTCTGGTGGGTCGGGATGGGGCAGGACAAGCTGCTGGTCCTCCTGGTGCCCTCGAGGAACTCCTGCGGCGATCCCACCCTGATGTCCTGAACCCTCTTGGCCTCGTGGTTCTCCTGCTTGACGTAGCGCTGGTGGGTCTCGAAGCACTTTGTGCACAGGAATTCCTTGCACTCCGGGCACCAGTACTCACTGCTGCTCCCACAGTTGTCACACAGCAGCTCGGCCCCGCTGACCACACGCCGGTAGATACTCAGGCGGGCCTGCAGGCTGCTGAACAGCACGTTGTCCACGTCGGGGATGCCGTCAGGCTGCGGGATGGGCGCCTGGCACACGGGGCACTGCCCTACAGGTTTGTTCTCTCTCAGGCAGCCCAGGCACAGCGTGTGCAGGCAGGTGAGCAGCTTCAGGTCGGGCGATTCCTGCCGGCAGCCCTCGCACAGCACAAACTGGAAGTTGTCCTCCAGCGGCTTGGGGAGGCGAGGGAAGAGACAGAGCTTCAGAACCCCCGTCCTGGCTCAGGTAAGCGGCCACTTCCTACCTGCGGGGCGCTGGTTCTCGCTCAGCACTTCCCCTCCCCATAGCACGAGGGGCAACGCGTTGGCAGCGTTGGCGGATGGGGATGGGACAGGGGGCACCCACCCGCCCTGCCACCCCGTCCCCCTCCCTGCCGCCGCCCCACTCTGCAGCCCCCCACACTCCCATCGCACCCACTCCATACGCATGAAAGGATGAAAGCCCTCCAAAAGGTCCCAGCACAGCCCCGTGCCCACCGCCCCGTCGAGGCACAGCCCTCTGCCGCCCCCCCCGTCTCCTCCCACCCCACTGCCCCCCGCTGCCGGCCGGGGCTCACCGGGACCGCGGGTTCGAGGCCGTCCATGGCGTGGCACGGATCCGGGGCTCCCCCCGCCTCTCCCGTCGCCCAGTTTCGGTTTCCCGGTGCTGCAGACTCCTCCTCCGGGCGGGACCTATGTTAACTGCTGCCGGGAAGCCATTTCCATGGGAGGAGCTGCACCCCGGCTCCTGTCCATCCTTCCATCCACTCCCCGCTGGTGGCTATGGGACCACCGTCAAGTGGAGACCGTGACCAAAGGAGTGGCAGCTAAAAGGACTGTGACTGAGGGGGGACATCACCAAACGGGGGGGTACCCCCACCATAGACTGGTTGGGGTTACCCAGAACAGAGATGCTTTCACCTCTGGGTGCTGAGCATCCACACACAGGCTATCGGTAGGAATGGGGAAACTGAGGCACGGCTCAGTGCAGCGGGGCATGGGGGAGAGCCCACAGGATCACAGAATGGCCAGGGTTGGAAGGGACCTCGAGGATCATGAATCTCCAACCCCCCTGCCGCATGCAGGGGCCACCAACCTACGTGCAGGGTCACCAACCGAAGCCACCATCCTGTTACTACCCTTAGAGTATGTTTATTAGGATAGAAAGGAAGCTTACAAAATAAAGAGCTACGCATACATGGCTGGACGCAGCCCCACGCACGCAGCGCAGACAGAGCTCACACCACACAACGCAGAAACACAAATCAACACCGTCACTCCTTGTGTTGGAAGGGGCAACTCCAGGCTGCGCCTTCCCCGGATGCCACCTCTGCTCCCTCCCCAAAAGGCAGCAGCTGCAAGGACCACATGGCCCAAAGCTGGGGTGCCCACTGGATGCATTGCAGGCAAGGGGCGAGACAAGACAAGCACAAGGGCAGCTGGAGGGGCTCAGCCAAGGACCGATGCCTCCGTTGCCTCAGTTTCCCCGCTCAGGCCTTCACCCGCCTCCTGTCATCCCACGGGGAGGGCAGGTAGCATCCTCACCATGTTCTTCTGCTGTCCCCCACCTACAGACACACACACAGGGACACGCTTGCTCTATCTGTGCAGCTTCATGGCCTTGAAGAGCTCCTCCAGGCGGAGGGCCAGCTGCAAGTCGCCCTGCACCCGCAGCCGCCCGCTCATGTAGGCAGCCAGGGGCCGCAGCTCGCCCAGCATCAGCTCCTGCAGGTCCTCCTCTGCCACTTCCAGCACCACATCAGGGCTGCCCTGGAGCACACCGCAGCCAGCCCGCCCGCTGCCTGTTGGACACGGATGGGGTGAGAGGGAGCAGCTGTGAGCTGGGACACCGACCACGAGGAGATCCCCTAGAGCACCCAACCCCACTGTAAGACCCCACCTGAGGAGAGGTCTATGAAGAAGGTGCTGCGGGTGCCGCCGGGCAGGATGATGTCCACCTGGTAGGATGCTCCCACCTGGCTCACCAGAGCCTCGGAGAGGATGGGCTCCACGGCTGAGAGCAGCTCGGCCACACTGGGCCTCCTCCTGGGGGGGTCCACCTCGCTCACCGTCACCACGCTGTCTGCTGGGACAAAGGGATGGAACAGGGGACACTTTCAAGATGAGCTCTGCTGGTCCACAAGGACCCCCACCACATGGCACTCCCTCCTCCAGCCTCTGCCAGACGCCCATAGCTTTCATTCCCTTGCTTGCCCCAGTCTTCCTTAGCCAAAATTGCTGAAGGGATGACACATCCAGAATAGTCACACTGCAACCACAGAGCACATTTTTTCCTTCTTAGGAATAAGCAGGGGCCTGAACTGACACGTGAGTCTTCCTCCCATCCCCGTGACTCAAAGCACCTGGGGAAAAATCTCGCTGTCACTTCCCACCCCTTCTGAGAGCCGTGCCAAGCTCCCAGCACGAAACCTGAGCTGCCCCCAGCCTATCTGTGCTGTGCTCACAGGGCAGTAGTATCTGCAGGACTTTGGCTCCTCTTTCTAACATCGTCTGGGCTCAAAGGTTATGGGCTCCTACCTGCCTCTGGGGCGCCAGGTGTGCTGTCAAGGAGGTGGGAAGCCAGCTGTGGGGGAGAGCCCTCCAGCACCGGGGCTATGGCACCCAGAGGTCCCTGCAGGGCATCCCGGGGTGGCTGCAGCACCGCCTCCATCGTCAGCTCCACGCGATCCACCTCCAGTCCCCAGGACTTGGTCATGTCATTGATGTCCAACTGAGGAAAGAAGGGGAAGAGAGGTTGTGGGAGACCGTGGAGACAACAGATCGCACAGCTCAGCGTGCTGCTGGTTTAGACCTGAGGTGTACCCCCAGCCAGGGGACACCCCGGGCCATTCTCACCAGCAGCTGCTCTCCGATGCGTAGCTTCTCCCCCTGGATCTCCCGCAGGCTCTTCTTGCCCAAGGCCTTGGCCATGGCGCTCTGTGCTGTCATGCGAGTGGCTGCCACGAGGTCCTTCACCACCAGCACAGACAGTGCAGGGTCCCACACACGGAACTGCACATCAGCACCCATGGAGAGCACGGCACCGTCCCGGGAAATCAGCTGGGAGAGGGGGTCAGGGTCTGCACCACTGCACCCCAAGCCCAAACTCCCACAAGGTTCCCTCCCCCATCTCTTTAATAAAGCCAACCCCAATGATGACGTTTTGGGCTGCTCAGAATGACAACTTCCAGCCATTGCTGAGAGACATTTGGATACGGGCTGATGCTTTGGAGATGTCTCCACTTGGGAACATCCATTGACCAAGATACGGAAGGTCAATAGGTGCCTCCCAGCCCCAGGGCTCGTGGCTCCCAGCCCTGTAATGCTCCTTGCCTCACCAAAATTCAGGCAGAATGCTGCTCTGGGTATTTGGGATGCCTCAAGGGTGGCTCACCTTGCAGGGGGGCACATTGAAGGCCCGTGTTCTCAGATCCACACGCTGCCAGTGGTCAATGAAGGGCAGCAGCAGCACCACGCCAGGGCCCTGCGGTGCACGGAGGCGGCCCAGGCGGAAGATGACCATTCGTTCATAGGTAGGCACTATCTGAGGGTTGGACACAGAGACAGGGACAGGAGTGAAACGCCAGGCACTGCCTACCCACAGAGCACGGGCTGCCACCCTGCTCCTCACCTGCTCCCTTCCCTTACCTTCAAGGCAAACCAGCCTGAGATGGGGAAGGTGAGGAGCATCAGTAGGAAGACCAAGGAGGTGATGATCCCATGGCAGATCCAGGACAGCCAACCCTGGGAGGAGTCTGAAAGGGGGGCAGGGAATGTGCACCCACCAGCAAACCCCACCCAGGCCGAGTGAGAGCACCCAGCCACATCAACACCCTGCTGGAAGCCCCAGAGGAGAAGAAAGCAGCATCTCCCCTCTGCAGTCGGGGCTCACCTGCAGCATTCCTGGCCGATCCCAGCTGGTCTGCCTTGGATCCGAAGGAGAAGAAGCCCTTCTGTGCACCGTACAGCCCAATGCTGGACTGCTGGAAGCGGTCAAAATCCCCTAAGGGAAGTGCCTGGTATCCCGACCTGCTGAACATCTCCTTGCTGCAATGTGCAACGCCGAGAGGGTAAAAAACCCAACAGCCCTATTGCAGCCGTGCTGCAATAAAGCAATGCTGTCTTGGTTTTCCTTGCTGGAGCCTCAGTCCGGTCTGGGGCCGGGGGGTTCCATCCTCCCTGCGGTTCCTAGATGAGGATGAGGATGCAGAGGGGAAGGAGGGAGCTGCCGGAGCTTCCTGGTCCGCCCCTCATGTGGCTGTGACGGCAGAGGGACGCAAGGCTCACGGCGGGGTGAGTTTTTCCGGCGGCTGCAATGCTCGGGAAACGCTCCGGCGACCTCGGGGAGCGTCGCGTCCTCTGCCGTACTCATACCTCGGGGGGATCTGGAGGGTCCCGCATCCCTACGGGGTCCCCTCCAACCCCATAGGAAATAGGGAAATAGATTTTTTTTTTCCCAGCAAATCCCTCTCCACGCGGCCTTCTCGTGCCGACAAAACAAGCGCTCCTCCATCTCGGCAGCCGACAAAAGGGGGTGGTACCCTGTGGGTGTCTGCATCCCCCCCCCCCCCGGGGGGCCGCGGGGGGGGGGGGGGGGCCCCCCGGGGCATCACCCTATGGGTGTCTGCATCCCCCCCGGCAGCATCCCCCACCGATATTCTCCCTCCCAGTGCAGTGGGATGGCAGGAACGGGACGAGCGGTACATGGGACCCCCGTTGGACCGTGCCCCGTCCCGGACTCGTCCCGTCCCGCCTTCTCCCATCATCCCCGCCTTCCTCCCTCCCCCAGCTCCTCCTTCTCCCCACGCCGGACTGCAGAAACGAAAGCGGAGCCTCCGGCCCAGCGCGCCAAAATGCCCGGCAGCCCCGAAGCCCCCCGACCATCCGAATCCCAAGAAGGTAAATAGGGTCCCCCCGCCGCTGTGTGCCTGCTCCGCGCTTATTACTATGCGGGGAGGCGGGGAGGCGGGGTGGGGGGGTGGGGGATAGGCAGAATGGGAGCCCCCCCAGTAGGCTCTGTGGGTGGGTTACACGTGTGGGTTGCAACGGGGTCACAATTGGGATGCAAAGCTGTTCTTTGAGGGGGATACAGAAAATGTGGAGGGAGGTGGCAAGGGGAGGCACCGTGCTTTGTGTGGGGCTCGCTGGTGGGCTGGGGAAGGATGTGGGGGGCTTTGGGGACAGGACAGTTCCACCCCAGAGGCTGGAACCATACGGTGGGGACGCGATTTGTCCATTCTTGAATCCCCCATGGCAAGATCCGGAAGCAGCAAAAGTGAAAGGAAAAAATCAATTGGCACATTTGGATTCTCCCTGTGTAACCCCGAATCCAACACTCCAAACGCACACAGCTCATTTCTCCCTACTTCTCCCGCTTCCTCTTCCTACCCAGATGGCCCTGCTGCCCCCCAGGAGCCGGGGGTCGCACCCGGACCCTCGCAGTGCCCCGCTCCCTCTGGGCTATTGGGGGAGGGCGACTTCCAGTTCGTGCTGTGCGAGGGCTGCCGGCAGGAATCGCCCAACCTGAAGCTGCTCACCTGCCTGCACACGCTGTGCCTGGGCTGCCTGAGAGAGAACAAACCTGTAGGGCAGTGCCCCGTGTGCCAGGCACCCATCCCGCAGCCTGACGGCATCCCCGACGTGGACAACGTGCTGTTCAGCAGCCTGCAGGCCCGTCTGCGCATCTACCGGCGGATCAGCAGCGGGGGGCTGAGCTGCTGCCGATGTCGGCGGGAGGCGGCGGCCGTGTGGTGCTCAGAGTGCGAGGAGTTCCTGTGCCCGGGCTGCTTTGAGGACCACCAGTGGTTCTTTAAGAAGAGGAGCCACGAAGCCAGGAAGGTGGAAGAGCTGAGAGCCGAGTCGGCGCATCGCTTCCTGGAGGGCACCAAGAAATCGTGCAGCCTCTTCTGCTCCAGCCCTGGGCACACCGAGCAGGGCCACGTCACCAGGTGAGTAACACAGCACTGCGTCGTGCCCCCTGTGCATGGGGACGCAGCGCCAACCGTGTGTCCCTCCCCTCTTCCCCGCCAGCATCTTCTGCAGGAAGTGCGAGAAGCCGCTGTGCTGCTCCTGCGCGCTGCTGGACGCCCAGCACTCCCCTTTCTACTGCGACATCCGCGCCGAGATCCAGCGGCGGCAGGACGAGCTGGCAGCGCTGGGGCAGGAGCTGGCGCGGCGGCGGGGCGGCTTTGAGGCATCGCGTGCGGCGCTGCAGGACGAGGCGGCGCGGCTGGAGGCGGCGGGGCTCGGGGTGCGGGAGCTGGTGAGGCAGCGCGTGGAGCAGCTGGTGAGGCTGATCCGGCACGAGGAGGAGGAGCTGCTGGCCACGGTGGAGAGGAGGCAGGAGAAGAGCCGCAGGGAGCTGGAGAGGGAGCTGCAGCACGTGGAGGCCGTGCTGCGGAGGATGGAGGCGGGCGAGAGGCTGGTGGAGAAGATGGGCCTCTATGCCACGGAGCAGGAGGTGATGGACATGCAGCCCTTCGTCAAGGATGCGCTGGAGGAGCTGCGGAGGCAGCGCCCGGCGGCGGATGGGGAGCTGGGGCTGCACGAGGACTTTGCCGAGTGCCGTGCCAGGCTGCAGGCGCTGGCTGAGCGCATCGAGGGGCTGCAAGGTGAGATGTGGGCACACGTGGCCAGCAAGCACCCGGTGCTCATCTCCCTGCCTCCCCGGTCACTCTCCACATCACTCTCCCTGTGATGGGACAGCTGTGTTGCTTGATCTTTGCGCCTCCCCAAAGGCTCCTTGGCCACCACAAAACGCTTCATTCTGGTCTCTCTTCCCAAGCCTTGCCCTCTCTCTTGCAGGTGGCGCTCCCCGGCCGGTCCCCATGGTGGAGGTGGCTCTGGAGAACAACCTGGTGAGATGTCTGTGTCCTGTCCCAGTACGGGGATGGCTCCTCACTTCCCCTATCTGCAAGTCTTCCCCATCCTACAGAGCAACTCCCAGCTTTCCCATAACCGTTGCTCTGCACTCTCTGTGCAGCAGGAGGAGCCCCCGCAGCACAGCAGCCAGGATGTTATGCCCACCTTCACCATCAGCCTCACCGAGATGGGGGTGAGCACGGTAAGGGGTGGGAGCTTTTGGGACCCAGAGAGGCCACCCCGTTGCCTGATGTCCCCTATGCAGGTGTCCCAAGCCACCACGCGGTCCAAGCGGTGCCAGCCTCACGTGGAGAGGAGCAGCCAGATCTCACCCAAGCTGCTGAAGCTGGAGTGGGATGGCGGTGAGCCCAGCTCGAGACAGTGGGATGGCAGAGGGGAGCCCAGCACCTCCACACAGAGACACAACGGCCGCATCCCCCCCTCCAAGGCCAGCAGGAGCCACACTCGGGATGCAGGTGGGTCATTACAGGGTCCCCTGTAATGAGAGCGATCAGGAGCCCAGGCTTTGCCCTCTGGAGCTTCATCCCCATTCCATTCCCTCTGCAGAGGATGGCAGCATCATCATCAGCTCGGAGGACAGCGAGGAGGACACGGTGATGAGCGGGACATCGGACTTCACTGCTTGCTGAGCTGCAACCCCATCTCCCTCTGCTCTGGAAGGCAACAAACCCCCCCTAGGTTTGCCTGAAGGGCCCACGTGGCAGCATCCCCAGGTGCAGAAGGACAGCTCTGGGCATAGGGGACGGCTCAGGTTTGGATTCTTCTCTGAGACATTCACACATTCAAGGATGTAGGAGCCTGACACTGTCCCCAGTATCACCTTCCAGCAGAGCTTCAGCAGGAGCAGGATATGGAGGTGGATATGGAGGCTTTTTAAACTTCTCTTCCTGTTTAAGCTTCAGTCTGTGCTCAGATAACACAAATCTCACTGCTGCAGGTAGAGCTGCTCAAACCGTCGATGGTAGCACTTCCTTCCATAAGACATTGATGCTCGAGCCTTTCCACTGCCCCATTCCATTAGAGATTATCACAGGGCTCCCTGGGAAGATTATTCCCAGCTGGAAAAAAAAAAAAGAAAAGAAAAGAAAAAAGAAAACCAACCCACAAAATCCACAGTTTTCTTATGAAACTCTTATCTGCACGCTCCGGTGCTGCAGCCCAACGGCCAGGCAGAGGGCAGAGGCTGGGAGATGGGATCGCTGCTGGGATGGCCTCATGCAAAAGTTCTTTTGTACTCAATAAAGGCGTTTCCAAGTCAAACTCCCCTCCTTCTTTTGCCTTCTCTTTCCCCGCAGTGCGGGACAGCCGCCACCAGATGTCCCCTTCGCACAGCCGCTCGGCACTCGCTCTTTGCGGCAAACGCGTGTTCACCCCACTCGTGCACCCCGGTGGGCCTTGAGCCCCGTGCAACCCTCCCTCTGCAGCGGGGGAATCCGCGCCTCGCTCGCCCTGCAGTGCGATTCTCCAGTGTCTCGTATAGGGTTGTGCTCAGCCTTACCCTGCAACAAGGGGCGCAGCCGGAGGAGAGCCGGGCCCATCTGTTTGCTGTCACTCGGCTTCATCAAAGCCTTGTAAAACAATAGAGGGGGCAATGGGCCGCAGGAGCCAGATTTGCCATCTTTTAGCTCAGGGCTGCTGTAAAACTCACCCAGCAGGCACAGGGCATTAGGCACTGAAGGGCCTGGGGTGCCCTGGTGTGAGGGGACCCCCGAGCTGCCATCAGCTCCTACTCCCCAGCACCTCCACCCAACCTTCAGGCTGAGGTATGAAGAAGAAAGGAGTTTTCTTTTGTGCTAGCAATAAATAACTTCCCTGAATTAAGCGAATCTCCTGAAATGATATATAATACGCTGCTTGCCTGATTGGCTGTTATTAATAATGCATTGCTCAATCTAAACCATTCATAAAATGACTCCCTGCTAGCCCTCAGCAAAGTGCTTTGGGACTTGGTTTAAAAAAAAAAAAAGAAATAGGCAAGAAGGAGCAGCATAAATCCTTTCTGTTTATGAAAATGGATTTCTTCCCCCAACACTCATGCAAAACTAATTAGAGCCAAAGGGCCAGTTCCTCTGCATTTGATTATAGCCTGCAAGATCACTCAGCTTGGATGGCCGGGGTGGGGGGAGGTCCAAGGCAGGGGAGTATTTGCTCCAGCGAGCTTGAGAAAGGTTAACTGGGTTAGGTGGTTTTATTAAATGTTTATCCCTCCACAGCAAAACAGGTTTGGATCCCAGGGGGCAGCAAGGGCGAGGATGGGGTAGTCAGGAATCTGTTAAATGTTTGGAGAAAGGTGATGCAAATTCAAGAGAAACCATATCACCTCCAGCCATGCTCCCAGCGCAGAGAATTGATGCCCTCACCTGACCTGAAGGGAGATAAAACGTGGCTAAAGGCAAAATAATCCAGGAGAACTCACGCTGGAGGCTTGCTCTTCTCCTTAATGCCCCAGCATGGGGAAGAGGATTCCTCCCCTTGATGCTTCCAGGCAGCAGGTGGACATTATAGGTTGTAAACCAGCAAGCTCTCATTCAACCAGTGATTCCTCTAGCTGGGAGGCTGCTCTCACCTGCACCATGGGAGCCATTGCACTGATCAACACCAGCTGAGGATCTGGCCCTCAGCACAGCTATTCACATGTTTAGGGGCTTGCAAGGTCAGTGTCTGGGGCTGAGCAGGCTGAAAGCTCTGGAGCCATCTGTCCAGCCATCCATGTACCCATCCATGCATCTATTCATCCATCCATCCATCCAAGTGCCTGTCCATCCTTCCATCCATCCATCAGTGTACCCATCTGTCCATCTATTCATCCATGTACTCATCAATGCATCTATTCATCCACCCATCCACGTATCTGTCCATCCTTCCATCCATCTCTGTACTCATCCATGCATCCATCCATCCACCTAGCCATCTGTTCATCCATTCACCCATGTACCCATCCATGCATCTGTTCATCCATCCTTCCACATATCCACCGATCCATCCACACAACTATGTACCCACCCTTGCATCTACCCACCCACCCACCCTCCTACCCATCCATCCACTGATCCATCCATCCATCCATCCATCCATCCATCCATCCATCCATCCACTGATCCATCCATCCACTGATCCATCCATCCACCTATCCATCCATCCATCCATCCATCCATCCATCCATCCATCCATCCATC